GGATGCTCAGTTTCTAAAAGTAACAAATCGAGGCAGCCTAAAAGTGTAAATCTTCCGGTTGTCTCGCATCGCGGTCGATCGTTCAAAAAGTATTCCCGGGGTAGAAAAGATCTCAAACAGACACCGAGCCGCGGGATCTCGCCGTGAAACGACGTGCCGAGCGGTACGGGGAAGTTAAACGAAGCGAATAAAAGAATTAGACCAGGAAAATTGAATTCAACTGCCTGAAGAGACGGGGACGGAAGTGGTTGAGCACACAAGAGCCGGGTAGACTGAACGGAGAATGTATCGGGCGTACATCTTTAATCAACTTCGATTCGTCTTGTCGAACGTATTCGTCTTTTCGCGTTCTCGTTCGCCCGCCAAAGCAATAACGATAACAAAGTTCCCCGTGAAATTTATTTCCCGTAAACCGCTACGAATGGTGCAATCCCACTAATACCTAGGTCGCTCTATAACAGTACTCGGGGTTGAGTAACGACTATCTAAGAGACAAGTATTGCAACGGAGAAACAAAGATCGATCGCAGAAGGGGTTGCTAGCGTTCGAAGACTAGCGGAGACTACGTACCACGAGGAACATTATTTTAAAAATTCATCGTAAAAGTTGAACAAAGCTCGACCTGCCCGAGGTTGATTGCCTCTCGTACTTTCGTTGAGTCTAACAACCTGATACTGGGCGTTTGGGTGATCGACCCAGATCCGTCGATCGTCGTCGTTGCACCACCGGAAGTTTGTGTTCGCGCGGAGAGGAGGTCCGAGGGCAAAGGCGAAAAGTTGACCCGCGAAGAAAGGAATCGGAGTGTGTTGGATTGGTGGAAGGTGGGCAGCTGAGGGGTGGAGGTCGTGGAACGGGGTGGAGGACGGGCATCTACGAGGACAAGAAATCGAGCGCTAGGAGTCCCGGGGTCGGTCGTTCAGGCTGGTCTTGGACGCCCGCGGCTGTTCTGGTTCTAAGATTACGATCATAACGAAAAACCTTCTCGCTCCCATTGGCCGTCAACTGGACCATCGTTCTCTCTTTCTACGCCCGTGGTCCCGATACCTCCGTCTCCGTTGGTCCCTTCTCGTGATGTTTCCCTTCCTTTTCCATCACGGCGTCGGTCTCCGTATGAGAACGTCCGGCGACGGCTGCATCGCGTAGAGCATTGCGCGCCACGGCATGCATTATGGAACGAGCGGGCAACGATTCTACCGGAAAAATTGCGGACACGCGAGACGGACGCGATCTGCAGCCCGACTACCTACCTACCTCGGTAGATATGTACCTAACCGCCGACCCACCACTCTCTCGCGCGCTAACCCCGCGCTGGTCGCCGGAGAAGATTGCTTTCCTATATTGCGTCCCTCCTCTGTTACGGCTCCTTTCCATTTTAGAAGAAACGCCCGAGATCTCTATAACCCGTCGCCCCCTGATACCCGGGACCGATCATACTCCCGGCAGCAATAAGCAGCCTGTTCGCCAGATCGAACGTCCCCCGGATGTTTGTCGAATTTCAACGATCGACAGCATTTTATTTAACCTCCACCGATCTACGAACCCGGGGATATCCAAGCTATCCCACCAAAACAGAGATTTGTACATGATTCGATTCTGAATCGAGTGTCTAGAAAATCATAATTACAGAAAAGATTTTCTAAAGCTCAAAATTGTTTCCTGAATGTTTTCTAAATGATACACTAGTACTGAATGGATTTATGGGGGCTTGTGTATATGTAAGAATAGATGGTCGATCGAGTAATTGATTTGACTGCCTCTCTATCATTTATTTACTCTGCCGATTTAATATATTCAAAGTCAGGTTCAATAGCAGACCGAGTCTCCACCGTTGTGCATTATTTTGTACATATTATGTTGCTTTACGTATTCGCGGAACGAAGATGTTTAATAATTACGAACAATCATGGAACAAAATCATCCGGCCACGGAAGGCCACCAAGGAGTTATCTCCGCCATACCATTTGGCTGCTTCGCTGTTCTACCTTCGCGTAAACAAGCGAGCACGGTTGGGAGTTGAAAAGAATGGTCCCCAGGGGTACCATGAGGCAAGAGAAATGCTTCTCGACTTCGCGTGTGGACCTCGGTTTTCCCTTTGCTTAGTTTGGTAGTTGTGTGTTGAGTCGAAATTCAACTCGGGCGGATGACGCTGTTACGGGGAGAAACGAAATTCCGACAGGTGGGATCGACGTTCTTTCCAGGATTATATTTTTCACTTCTCGACCGTACGATGGGCTCAGGTGGAAGGGAGATCGGAATTGCGCGACGAGAAGATAATTTTTTTAAAACGCTGAAACTTTCTTCGATATAAACATCCGCTCGTGAATATTTTATTGTGTCGGTAAGCTGCTGAAACGCTTTGCAAAGTAAACGTTACCGAGCCGGATCAGCAGCTCGGAGAACATCGCGGATCGCGAAGGATTAGCTTGATGAAAATGTTAAACGCGTGACGCGAAACCGGGTCCTAAAAATGGCAAAAATCCTTGGAAAATGGATCTATCGTACGTTTGTCAGCTGTATTTTAGGGATAGAAGATGAATCGGTGACAGTTAGTATTAATAACATGGATAATGATACGTTGATGGAATTCAGGAAGTATGTTTGTACTCTTCTCAGGGAAGCGTCGCGATGCAAACGTATTACGCTCTCCGTGTATAAGTAAGTTCTGTTATTACCCATTACTCGTTTAAGAAGCCCTCGATTAACCTCGACCAAATACGCCGCCGCTTTCCCATCGCTGGTGGTTTGTTATTTGGAGTCCTACGATTTGATCGGTCATTAAACAGACCAGTGGTACTCAAACTGAGCTTTCACAACCTTCTCATACAAAGTTAAATGTCTGCAAATAAAAGTCTTACTTGTATGTACCATGTAAAGTCCAACGACTGAATTATTTTACTTAATGTTGATTTCTATCAAATTGATAAATGGAAATCAACTTTCCTTTAAAGCATTTAAAAAATGAGTTAATTTTCACATAATTACATTGACGTATATTAAATAGTTATTAGCAGCGGTCCAAATAATCCACTTAAGGGTTAAAAAATACTGGATATAATAGTGTCTTCTGAAAGATTCGGAGAAACGTTTGAGATTGAAACGAAATGTGAAGCGTGGGGTTGCAAGTTTGAAGACCACTGGCGTAGACGAAGCTATTTGCCCAGCGATTAACGATCGGTCAAGGTAGCCGGGACGGGAACCTTCGAATCTATCGCAGGAAGAGGGGTATTATTTCGATTAAAGCGAACGTTGCCCGGTGAGAGCCCCGGGATGAAGAGAAATTATGGCCAGTCTCCGCGGCGAAGGGTTTAGCGAGGCAAAATTGCTGTCGTTAATCGTGGAGGGTAATCAGAAAAGGAAGAACATCTGTCGCGTAGTTGACAGTGACGCAGCGCGACGCCGAGCGAATTTGTCGTTGCCGGGAAATTCCGCGGGAAACGGGCCCCCGCGGGCGATGATGAAACGGCGACGAGCATAGCAACGTGGCCGTCGACAGAGGTGTTGCAAAAGAAATATGCAACGACAAATCTGCAAACGAGGAAAGCGCGTAACGCTGCGTCCCATTTGCGTCACGGAAAAGCCACGCGCGGGAGGAGGGGGGGAAAAAAACGACGATGAACGACATCCGTCTCTCTCGCGAGGGTCCCCGATGTTATGAGGAACCCGGGTAAAGTGACAACAGCCCCGCGTAACGCTGATGAAAGGGAGGATACCGCGTAATCCTCTCGAGTCCGGTTCTCGCGAAGGGTTTGCGTCAACAGATGCGGCGACGTTTTAAATTTAACAGCGGCCGAAAATAAGCCGCGCCTCTGCAAACGTCTACGAAATTCTATGCACGTTCGCTTTGTGCCCCTTCTAGCGAAATTAAACCGGTCCGTAACGATTCCTGACGCTCGCCACGGATCCGGAAGACACGTTGAAAACGAGCCCCGAAACGTTTCCACGAAACGCAGAGTGCATCGAGTCGATCTTCGTCTCGTACGCGTTGCCGCGGAACTGGGCCGTCCCGGATGCATTTTTCTTTCTATTCTCCTTTCTATCGTTTCTGCGTAGCCGCACGCGAGCGATTTTTTAAACTACCGTTTGAATAAATTGGATTAAATTAAAACTGAAACGTTAAGTTCGTAATACGCTATAGAAGTGAAAGTTAGAGTAGCTAGGGTGGTTTCGTGCTTTCAGGTCGGAGAAAAATAAACGAATTATCACTTTGATCGGTGAAGTACGATCTCCGTACCGCGGGGCACAGCGTTCCCGATAAGAGCAATGCATCATGCCCGGTGACTGAAAATTGTCCAAGTTAATCGTCCGCGAAAAATAAAACGGCAGAGTGTCGTACAAAATGACGAGCACGCGTAATGACAGGCCGCTGGCTTCGGTTGGTAAGATTGATAACTATCCGATGCACCGATCGAAACGAGAAACCCATTACTTATCTCCGGAAGGACTATCATTATGCGCGTTCCCCCACGCCGCACGGTATTTCGAACGATCCCCGCAACATTCGACGCACCGGTTCGGTAGCATAAGAGTAATTAGTTGAGATTATTCCACGTCAACGTTCGGGAAATGAATGTAATCTTGTCGGAACGAGCACGGCCGAAACGATCATTTTCAATTCTACGTCGACGAAGACCGGGCCACGACGGTAATTATATTTCTTCTTCGTCCACCTCCGTTGCTTTAACCCATTAAGTACCAGTGTCCTACATAACCCTTTGCACTCGGAGAATTTTTATTAACGCGTTGGCGCCCGGACGACGCTCGAAATTCCCAACGTCTTAATAAGAACCAAGGATATCAACGGGATATCTGCTTCGTGGCTCTCGAAGATGAAAAATATCAAAAAGTAGTTTTTTCTCGTGCCCGATGGGCCGGGAATAGCACGGTGCACTGTCTGGACTGTCCATAATTTACCGTGTCTCCCAAGAAACCGAAGAAAACTCGACGATCTCGGGACTGGTGGAGGAGTTTTTCTAGAATAATGTGCTCGCAAGGACACTCACCTGGAGATGGATCTGTCCGTTGTTGTCGACCCATCCGATGACCATGTCAGTTCCAAGCTCGCCGTCATCCTTCGTGAAACCGAGACTCACGTAGCCGAGGGTCTTCGCTTGAATCTCGAACAGAACATCTGTCTCGTCGGGCGTCCAAAGAAGTAAGAAGTTATTGTCCAAGATAGCGCTGTGTTTCCACTCGACGGAAAGGACACCGCTGACGGAGAGGAGGAGGAGGAGACACGACGCGATTACGGTCTTCATCTTAACGGCTGATGACGCTTCAAAACATCTGCAACAACAGAATTATAGTGTCATTAGTGTTTTGCTGACCCGTCGGCGAAAAACAACAACAGCACGTTCCGCAATACCGCGTGTGAATGAAATTAACCTATTCCTTCGGGCCAGGTACGGTGCACCCGAGGCCTTTCCAGGTGTTCGAACGTATCACGTCATATTTTATCGGTGTATCTTCCCTCTTTCCTACATAAGTTATACATTCTCGGTAATCGACTCGAGCAAAACGCTTCGGAACGAATTAACCGCGCTAGTCGAGAACGTACCGTGTACTGTTACGGCTTACCATATTTGCCAGCGACTCGGCGCATGGACTGGCAGCTTCCGTTACCACTCTTAACGCCGCAATTACAAGTACTTCGAATCCTTACACGGCGAAACGCCTCGCCACGCGAAACGATAGAATTTTTCCGGCGCTCGTTAATGGTTCGCGCTTTAACCATCTCGGCTCTGGATTATTTCCCCCACGAATAAAGAAAGATATTTAGTTTAAATATTCACACGGATTAAATTTTTATTTATCAGTAACGTCATCGGAGCATGCGTTTTCCATATAAGTAATAACAGGTGCAGGCGATCTGGATGGAAAGGTGTATGACACCGAGGAAACAGCTGGATTTTTCAGAAACAGCTGTTTAAAATGTGTGTTTTTTTTTATAGCAGATTTTATGGTTAATGGTTCTAGTTTGCAAATATCTTGCAATTCGTCTTGTGAAGCTTGTTAAGACGATGCATAAGACTTCACGGAGACGTTTCGATTGCTAATTTTAATTCCAACTTCTGGGTCGACCGAGTACTACCCCTCCATGATCTACATGAACTCCGTGGATCGCGGATGGGGGGCACGAAACGGTCCGCTAGGTCTGAAATTAGGACCTGGTAGGCTGTCTCCGGCACACCGAAGAATTTTAATCAAGAGAAACCAGGCCGTTGATCGCGGAATTCGTTACGGGCGTCTTTGTACACGGTCGTCCCGTTTGTTTTAAGGACGTCGTTTTGATACGTCGACCGGCGTCTGTTATCAGCCGCCGCCAGTGATTAAAGTTCGCGTTCCGCGCGCGTCGTTAACTAATAACTCATTTTCAGGAAACGAAGCGCAGGCGAACGGGGAACACAAGGGAGCAGCTGACCCGAGCGGCGTATCATTTGTTCTATTCGATTCGGTGTCCTTAACAATGATCGACGCTGACCTTAATTCCTGATCGCGGCGAAGCGATTCGATTATCAGAGACGACGCGATACCGCGGATATATCCTCGTCCGGCTCTTTGTGAAGTCGCGTCGATCTGATCGCTATCAATTTCACTTTGTTTCCAGGGAGTATCCCGGCGCTATCGCGAGCGGGTCGACGAGTATAAAGTAATTAACGTCACGGTTGAATAGATGCGCGAACAAAGGAGAAATCTCGCGTGTAAAAAATTCGGAACGCGGTCGAAAGGTCCCGTGACGATCGAGCGAGTCGCGATTTAGTTGAAGAATTAAAAACGAACATATTATATGTAAGTGTCCTGCTGTTAAATTTCAAAACAAAGGGTGAACGAACGCGCTAGAAGGGGAGGGAATTGGATTCGAGGGTCGATTAAAAATTCAACGACCGCGATCGCGACGAAATAGCTGCGACGGTCCTCGAAACGACGATCGTTCGAGCGGGAAACTGGCGATTGTCGGGTCCCGGGGTAGGGACGAAAAAGCAGATGGAGGACCTGTCCCCGAAATCTCTTTTGTCCGCGTGCGTGCAAACATCCGCTTGGTAAATCAGCAGGACGCTGTTAAGAGAACTGTCAATGCGAAAGCGATCGAATCGATTAATAGTAACGATCGTGTAACGCTTGAACGGGGCGATGCAAATCGAGGGGAGGACGCAGTTACGAAGTGTCAGACGAGTGGTGGCGCGTTGGCAATTCAACTATTCGTTTTGCGCGGCTGGGAAAGCAGAGAATTAAGCGCTTCACAGAGACCATCGATTGGTCAAATGCGCGGCCGACTCGATGTTTTTCGCCCGCGAATCGCGTTGCTCCTCGGCCACGTGGCACGTGCAATTTTCAGCCCCGCGAACGACCGGTTTAATTAACGACCACAATGGTACAGCGCGTCGTTTAAGTAACGTCATTGTTATAGCGGGTATCGATTCCGGTGACTCTTTGCATGGCGATTGACTTCGACTTTGGAAACGTTAAATTCGGACGAGTAGAATTTCGATGTCGCTAAACAGTGGGGGGAAGATGAATAAAAAGTTCAGAAATAATTTTTGTATAATATCCCGTACAGAAAATAAAATAATCGGGTAACCCGCTTATCGGACGCTTTAATGCGTATTTCATCAATTTGAATTAAATTTGATCAATTTGATCAATTTGAATTAAAAATGATTCCGATTTGATTTCAGGAAAAGAGGAATTCTAATCTATTAAGTGGAATAGAAAATAGATTTTATCGTAGTTCTTCCACGTATAATTTTCAGTTAACGAACCTGCATCGTTAACTCGAACTTTACGTTTCAAGCATCATCGACCACTAAAAAAGAGGTTATCTAGAATTGCATGTACAGGAAACTGGCTGACGTATGTTTGAAACTCCGTGCAGTTTCCGCGGCGTAGTTTGATTGCTGGTCGAACTTCAACTATTTGTATGACCTTATTTGAGGTTTCCAGTCTTTGGAATCGAAGTTTCCGCGCTGTACCGCGTCAGAAACGGTTATGCTTCAGAGGTCCGTGGTATAACCGGCGCAAATTACACCGTCACTTGACCGAGTTCGAATCTGCCAGTACAAAGAACTCCTCTCAAATCGAAAATTCATTTTTTTTCCTTATCATTCGTATCCCTCTTCGTATTTAATCCAGATTTCGATAACGGAGAAATGCGTATTATACGTCGCCATGTTTGTTCTCCGTGGAAAATCAATATCAAGCAAAGAGCATTAAATCTATTTATTATTATTTATATATATTTTACGCAGTCCACTAAAATTCGCTCGAAGCTCGCGGATTATACGGTTCCAATTTGGTTTTCACTGTGCTCGACAGGGTGCAGTATTTATTACATAATTGACGAGATCAATTCACCCTCAATTGACAAATTCAATTTATCGATTCCTAGCCATCAATTGCAGAAACAATCAAACTTCAACAAGGACAATCAAAGTTTAGAAGGAGATTCGAGATGAAGTACGCGAAGTTTCAAGTAGACCAATACCATCCCCGATCAGACACGAGTCGTTTTGTCCCTGTTGTAGTGCTTGCACAGTGATAGTATACAACGGCAGTTGAAATAATGAAGCCAATAACTACCCTATTTTGGCCATACGATTAATAATTTACGTGACATGTGTCGTCGATATATTAATTAAAAACTGAGCACCTATCTGAAAACTGTATTTGTCACCGAACTTTTAATATTAAATATCATCTGAACTACTGTTTAACAAGTAGTTTATCGTAATAATCGCTGGTTCCAATGTTCCAAGCTCTATCGCTGCACTAAACCTCATTGACAAGTCAGAGTTGCATTTAGGCACCTTCGCTTGTCAGATATCATCTCCTTCGAAATCAATTTATCGGGAAACGCGTAATAGGCCGAGTTACGCGCATACGCTGCTGCACATTTCCACCATCGGTCGAGATCACGCCTCGGAGTCGAACGAGATCACGTCCAGCGACGTCGATCCTCGATCTTAACGACCCTGGCTCGAAAGGAGCGCAAACAGTCGAAAGTTCAATCGTTATCCGGTTCCTCGAAGCGACCCGTGTCCGATACACAGAGTTTGCGGTGCGCGAATCCACTCTGTGTTCCCCATTTTGCCCTACGGTGGATCCAATGCCTATTTCTCGGTCATCAACACTCCACTCCGCCTCTTTTTACTCGAAACTTTCGAAATTTGGCACGCATAAAGCACGAAACGCAAAATAAAATATTGAAAATACTAACGTGCTTCAAATTTTTGCTGAAATAGATCGGGATAAATATAATCGTCATCCACCTCGACGTTAAAATTCTTTGTATGCTTAGAATTTTAAGGGGATATCAAAATGCAAAACCACGCGTGAGATTGATACACCAGGCAATAACAAATATTCTGACGTTGGACGGGGCGCTCGTTGCGCGGTCGAAGTTCTTCAAATTATTCAAATTGCTAAACTTCGTTACGAATTAACGAACGTCCCAATAACCAAATTTCGTTACCGCTATGCAAGCATAACAATTAACTATCAATTAAGAATATAATTGCTCGTAAATCTCATGAATGCGGGTACCTAATTAGCGATATTGAATCAGAAAGCAGCGAACGATTTTACGAAATCTGTCAAACTTTATCAACGTACGGCATAACCGGGCATCAAACTTGCAGAACTCTTCGGCCCACAATGGAGTATTCGCGCTGTAAATGAAAACTTTCGTTGTGTGGGCTAATGGAATATATGAATAAAAAAACTATTTTGACCAGCTTTTTCGACGTCTACTTTTCAATTTTCTAATTTCCTTCGAATAAAAATTGTTTAAAATAGAATTCCGCGATCCATAAAGTACTAGGAGTGCTTTTATATCGGAAAATGGCTTTGAGTGCGTCACGGTGCGATCCCGAAAATCCGCGCTTATGCGTTTTGGCGCGAGGCAGGCACGGGCCGCGTGATTTCGGCAATTTTACGGTGCTGGCGGAGGAACCGGCAATCTGAAAACGATCGATTCAATTAACAGTAACAGCGGTGTAATACGCGCCGGATGCGAGGTGATGCATCGGCAGTAGCAGCTGTCGCGCGGCAACTCGAATCGCTCGACCGTACGTAGAAGCGTCAACTCAAATTGAGAGGACAGTGGAGATCCGCGAAACGAAAATGGTGTGGCGCCAGGGTAGCGGTGTCGGGGGTTTCGGAGGGCGAAAGGTGACACAGAGAGGGATCTGGTGAACAGGGGGTGAGGAGGGGAGGGTCGGCGGGGCTTCGAGGGCGACGCAGTCGGCGGAGGTGAGCCTAGCTAACACACGACTACCACGGACGGGTTT